TGATCATTTTAGTTGCCTTCCTCTGGACATAATACCGAAAGAGCACATAGCATAGGTGTGATAACAGCAGGTTTTCTGCACTCCTCAAAAATATCTTACAGTTGTTGCCAGGTGCTGAAGCTCTCTTTTTTGGGTGGCAATAAGTGAACTTTGGTGGCTAAATTAATGAAATACTTATGAACACCTGCTTATACAGATACTCAGTTCTCCGGTTTGTGCACTTTCTTGGCCTTGAAATGATTTGTTAGAACTGTTCCTGTGAAGGCCACTAATTGCACAAGAGATGGACTCTGTAGAAAGGGATTAACAGCAAAGATTTGCATTCTTTTGCTTCTTATGATGTTGTTGTTACCAAACTTTGGGTTTACCTGAAAAACTGCTATAATCTCCCCTTATGGTTCTCTGACCATTCACTGTTCTGACATACCATCTGATGCTCAGCGTTTTGGGTATGACTCACAAGCCTCTGATGCAGTCATGAACATAATAGGGCCAGCACTTCCCAGACGTCATCACTAGAGCTGTAGCAGCTGGCCATGCCAAATGACAGATCTGCTGCTACGGTGTTTCTGCCAGAAGCCATGAAGGTGCTGTGATATGACGTGTAACAAATCCTCCCTGCAAAACCCAATTGGTTAGAGGACTTTTCAGTCAGAGTCAGAATCATCCCTTTTATCTGGAGATGGATGCTAACGCCGCATCTGTTCTGCCTTCCTTGGCACTTGTAATGGTTCAGAAGCAGTTAGGGGAAGAAAGTCTAATGCTGCCTTGTGTTATATTAGGAAGACGGTGGACCACTTATGGAAAGAAGCACAGGTTCATGAATTTAACAACAGCTGTGGGTTTTTTTTTAAATGGTTTCTTAATACAACATTTCCCTGCCTATTCTTTCTCTTATTGCATCCAACCAATTTGGCAGAAAAGATGTCTCCCTGTTTCAGGAGTCCAGAAAACCAGACTAGCACTAAAATGCTCTGTATCATAATAGAAGAGGATCACTCAGTGCAATTTATATGGCTGAGGGGGAAAAGGAAAGGGCCTGAGGCTGTTAGGAATTGTGGGAGTTGGAGTCCAAAACACCTGGAGGGCCCAAGTTTGCCCATGCCTGATCTAGACTTTCTCTAGTCTGCACATTTTGAGCTGGTCCTTCTTGGAGACAGGATATGATGCATGGACAATGCAAGCCTGGCCTTGTCCTTCCATCCTTTGACTATTCTCTCAGAGTCTTGGGAAATTTGTGGCTTGAATTCTGTAGCTTAGATCCTGATAATTAGAACCATGCCTATTGCTAGACTTCACCCTAAAGCAGAGCAATGGTTTGTCCCAGTGGCATTCTTTCACACAGCACTTGGCTGAAGAGTGTGTTTGAGATGCAGTATTTCAGCACAAAATCCAACCCCCCAGCTCCTTTTATGAAAAAGAAAACAGATGTGTAGCCTTTCAAGCTGCAGATAAAAACGCAGTTACTCAAACTATGCAGAGTCAGTTCTCCTGCAGGCTTCTTCCTTCGTTTTCTTACCTGCTTAGATGAGTATCGGGCTTTCTAAATGTAATTGATTTCCAGTCCCAACATCTGTTGTGAATGAGACCTTCCCTGGTTCAGTTTTTCCAGTACATGTTGGCTGTGCATGCTAAAAGCATCGCCTCTGCTGTTCTGAAGTCTTGTGGCTCAATCTAGAAATTAGTTATTTTGCAACAACAACCCAATTTTCTGGACAGTAATGAATCTGCAGCTATAAATGGGTGCACATTAGCTCTGCTGGGTGTTCTTACCACTAAAAGGAAGTTCTTCATTCTGTAGTTTCTATCATCATGGCTTATCCCACTATGGTATCTATCTATCTATCACAAAAATGCTCTGCTTTGTTGGAGAATTAAAAACACCAGCAACAGCAGTGGCACCAGACTATAGTTGTAAGAAGTTTGCATGGTTTCACAAAATAAAACAGGGTCCTCAAGAGGTGATCCACCACCACAAGTCCCACTCATTTGCTGGAGTAGTTACATGTACAGTAGCTTATTTCGGAATATTCCAGAATTCAGAATGGCAGTAGACAGATGCTGTGGCATCTTATAAGACTAATGTAAATGTTGGCTTATGACAAATATGTTTTTCCTTCTCCTGTATTATTTTAATACCTTAGCCTATTGAAGAAGCCAGTGGAGCTTCGAAAGTTTGCATGGCATGTTTTGTGCATTTTTGTATGGCCCAATATGTTTTGTTCATTTTGGATGCTACGGTATGTTGTGGAAAGGTTCAGGTTTTGAAAAGCATTCATCTGTTGGGAACTATATTTGCAAACTTTATATATCTTAAGATGGCTCTGCTAGCATATGGGGTGGGTGGCAAAGGAGAGATTTGTCTTCAACCAAGACCATATAAATATTTCAGAAAGATCAATTATATAGATCATTGGTTCCCAACCAGTGGTCCACAAGAACTAAAATATGGTCTGTGCCTCACAGTTACTACACTGTTGCAATGATGGCGACTGATCTCTCAAAACTCTTGTATAGTGCCAAGGCTTATTAAATATGATTTTCTATGGGTGAGCAGATGGTGACTACTGGATGGCATATGTTCTGTATCAGAGCTGATGTTGTCTATCCAATGCAATTTTCTGAATCAGCACCTCCAATAACCAAACCGAATCTAAAGTTGACCAAAAACCGATTCGTAAGTTTTTTGGTACTAATGTTGGAGAGTGGTCCCTAGTCAAAGTGGTCACTGGTCAAGTTGTCCCTGGTCAAAAAAGGTTAGGAACTAGAGCTAATGTGGTCTATCCAATGCAATTTTATGAATCAGCACTCCAAATAACCAAACCGAATCTAAAGTTGACCAAAAACTTATTCATAACCCTTTTGGTACTAATTTTGGAGAGTGGTCCCTGGTAAAGTGGTCCCTGGTCAACAAAAGGTTGGAAACCACTGCTATAGATCAGCCCGATATCAATAATGAGAGGTGCAAAGAAGGCTCAAGTATGCTTAGAGGTTACAAATCTGCAATTAAGTATTTATGATTTTTCGACAGAGAAAGAAAGATGTTAAGCATGTATTGAAAGCCATTTTTATATGGTATATTTTAAGGCTGAGCCCTGGACTAAGTTTGTATTCTTTTTTCCTGACAGTGCATTACATGTAAAATAATAATACTTCCACCATCTCAGGAACACCATACTGCTTTAGTTGAATTTCTGCTGTAAGGTTCCGTTGGGATGAGGAGGAAGGTGGCAATTCTGGCTGTCATCTTTCAAGGCTGACTGTGCCAAGTCAAGATACAAATTAACTTCTATTGTTTTAGCCATCACAATGTGTCATAGACTCAACCCTTCCACATTTTTTTTAATATATTGGAATCCCAGAATGGGATTCAAGGCAACTACATGGAAGGTGTGTGTGTGAGTTCCTTACAAAGAGAAGCCAAATCCCGGGTCTTGTGAGAATCATTTTCAGCTGGATTTGGTTGTGTCAGGAGTGACTTGAGAAACTGCAAGTCACTTCTGGTGTGAGAGAATTGGCCGTCTGTAAGGACATTTCCCAGGGGATGTTTTGATGTTTTATCATCCTTGTGGGGGGCTTCTCTTGTGTCCCTGCATGAGGAGCTGGAGCTGATAGAGGGAGCTCATCCGCACTCTCCCCAGATTTGAACTTGCGACCTAGCGGTCTTCAGTCCTGCCGGCACAGGGGTTTAACCCACTGCGCCACCAGGGGCTCCTTTCAGGTGGATGGGTCTAGGATAGTCCAGTGCCTTGACACCAATATACTTCCAACTTATCCTAAGATCTTCAAACATGACTCATTGTGGAAAGGCATGCATTTGCTCTCCTCCATTTTTAACAAGTAGGTGTGGAGTAGTTTAAATGCCAATTCAATGCATTTCCCTAACTTTTTAGTTGTGCTATTTCTTGTTGTTAAACTGGTGGCACAATACCAGTTCCATCTAGATTCAGTGTATGTTTACTTGGAAGAAACTCCTGCTTAACAAACTCAGTGGGGGCTGCTTGCTAGGACCTGTTTTTACAATTGCACCTTTCTTTCAAGAAACTTCTTCCAAGAAGTTGTTTGTCACCCTCACTCCCCACCCATTTGATTGAATTTCAACGATTTGGACACCAAGGGATTGTACTGAAGGCAATTTGCGGGACCTGGCACAAATCAGATGGAACCTCCCTCCATCCTGCTTCCAGGCTAGGAGATGGGAGGCTTCTGTTGTACCGCCCAAGAGTTTCTTCTAAGCTGGAAGAAGCCCTGGCTGCTACTTCCTTCCCTGTGAGAGCCTTTTGTTTCTCATCATGTTAATCCAAGGCAGCCCTGACTGCTTTGGAGAGGAAGTCTCCTTGCCCCACTCCCCAGGCTTTAATGATGGCATCATTGCCTCCCCTTTAAAGCTTTTCTGGCTGCCTTGCACCCCCCCCCCCCTCTCTGGGATTTACCTCTTTCTGTCTGAGTCTCTCTTTCTCTCTCTCTCCCTCTTTTGTTTTTCTCAGCTTGGGCATGGTAGGTCCCTCCCTCTTTCATGCGATCAGAGCAGCCCCTGGAGAGGCGGAGAAGGGGAAGAGGGAGGGAGGAAAGGGGGAGGGCCTCCTCCTCCTCTTCCTCCTCCTCCTCTTCCTCTCTCCTCCTCCTCTGGAGCTTCTGGGCCCCTTTCTGAAAGGCTCAGGGAGGTGTGTGTATGTGTGTGCGCCTGCGTGTGTGTACGCTGAGCGTGTGTGCAACAGCCAAGCCTCCTCCATACCCCCACAGAAGGCCTGAGACAGCAGCAGCAGGAGCAGGAGCAGCCATTGTTCGGGGAAAACCTGGCAAACAAAGGACGGGCTTCCTCCTCCTTTCCTCCATCAGAGCCTTCCTGTTTCCTCTGGCTGTTGCTGTTCAGCCCTGGCTAGGCCGATCTCCGCTTCTGCCCAGTCCAGTTGCAGCCCAGAGCCCGGCTGTCTTTGTATTATTTTCATTTTGAACTTTTTTTCCGGGCTCTTGCCATGGCTGGGTTGGAGTGAGGTGCCCGAGGGCAGGCATGTACTGATCTCTGGCCATCCCCTGCGGCCTGGCACCCTCAACCCCCTGTGCCCAACAGCAAGACCCAGGAGTTCTCCCCAGGTAGGTCTCCCGGTGGCTTTGCACACTCAGACCAAGTTTGGGCAGATCCGGGAATCCCGGGTTGCATAGAAAGGCTTTGGAGATGGTGATGAATGAGAGGGAGAAGGTAGAGGGGGCTCTTCAGTAGCCTCTTCCATCCATGGGGCTTTGGGAGACAGCAGGGATGGGATCTGAAGGGGGAGTGGGTCTGCCATGTTAAGGAGCCGCTCTGGATACAAAGGCCGCATGGTCTCCAGTGAAGATCTGACTTGGGATGCTTCTACACTGTAGAATCAATGCAGTTTGACACCACTTTAAACTGCTATGGAATCATGGGTCTTGTAGATTGCTGAGGCAACAGCAGTCTTTGGGAGATAATACTCAAGACCTTGTAAACTGCAACTCATATAATTTTATAGAATTAAGCCATATCAATTAACGTGGAGTCAAATTGAATTAATTCTACAGTGTGGATGCACCCTTGGATGTCGTCTTGGAGAGAAAGAAGTCTCTCTTGGTTGCCTTTGTGTTTTTTTCTCCCCTCTGGATTCACCATCTCACCCCTCCCTTTCCCTCTGAGATGGTTGGCAAGGATGCTGGGTAACACTCTGTTCACAGGACAAGTTGGTCTTCTTGGAAATTGGGGGGGAACTAAACAGGTGAGATCTTGTTGTGGCAAAGTGGGCACCTTCTGCTTTGGAGAAACAACCAGCCAATGCCAGGGAGAGAAGAGAGTTTCCACTGAAAGGTGTATGACCAGGCAGGTGATGCTGAACTTTCCTGGTGACTTCACGGGTTTTCAGAATGGGGGTGCCAAGAACTTGGCAAGTTGGAGTGCAGTGATGGGAATGGTGTGTGAAGAGGGCACATCCCTGGAGGTGCACCACACTAGGCATTGTATTTTCTGAGAGTGTGGAGAGGCCTTTTCCTCTCAAGCTGTCAGCCTCTCACATTTACCCTTTTAGCAGCCTCTGTGGCCCAGAGACCTTTTCTCCTGCCCTTTGCTCCAATTTATTTTTGTCTATTGACATACCTTCCTCCACACTCAACTGAGGTATTTTTCACCAGAGAAAACCCAGTTGCAAGATTCCTACCTCTTCTCTCAGACTAGAAGTACAAGACTTACTGGTATTGATGGAAGAGTGCTGTTTCTATCTTTACTAAGTGTTGGGAGTTGTGATCCGACTGAATGGGGGAAATGTTTTCAAACAAGCCTCCTGATTTACTGAGTTTCCTCTTTTTGTTCTTTTTTCTTTTTTTTTCTTTTTGCATTTATTACTCTAAAAGGATTTGGCCCAAATCTTGGAGCTTGTGATACCACACCACATCATGGGGGGAAACTATGGGGAGTATTTTTCAACCAAATTGTCACATTCTGTCATTTTGCTTAAGTATCCTTGTATCCTAGCACGCTTTGATGTACTGTGGAATCCTACCTGGAGGGCTGAAATGTTCATTTGGTATGATCTTTGAAGTTGAAAGTAGCTCCTTGTATCATCTTGCATGCATATATGTATGTAATGTAGCATTTCCATAATGGAGAACACATTTGTTTTGGAATCATTTGATGGCTGCTAATTCTGGGCTCTAGAGGATGCTCTGAGGTCAGGGTAAAGGGTATTGATCTAATAAGATACAGTGCTACTCGCATATGGCTTAAATGGAAGTGTCGTTTAGTTGCATGGGAAAGAGGAATGACCCTAGGTGGTTTCAGGTGTGGTAATATAATACCGAATGGCTGTCCATTATAGTTTAGATTGTGCTGGAGCTACGTTCTGAATTACCAGTATAACCAGTCCTTCACAGACTTTTGCTTCAAGCAGGCCCTGCATATTTAACACTCACACACTATTTGGTGTGGATAGGCATCACCACAGAACCCGAATTTCCAGTTGGAGTTCCTCAATTTGTTTCTTGCACGTTCTCTTGCAAGTCATTAGAAAAATCAACCATGGAGGGGGGCAGTATTAAAAGTCTAGGCTGCAGGCATGGCAGACTACAGCAAACTCCTTCTATAAGCTGAATTATCTGAGTGCCTAAAAATCTGGGGCCAGGGAGGACTTGACAGCAAACTTTCACGTGTGTGGAGCACATACATAAAGACTGCACTCACTATAGACAATTTGGGAATAGAGATAGGAATAGAAATGCAGCTGCCCTCTAAAATTTGGTGAATAGCTGCTGTGGTGAAGAGTGACGCAAGGGCTCCCCATCTGTCCTCCCAAGATCTAAGTTTTCCCATCTGGGTTGTTATACTGATCATGGGATGAAGGATGTGGTGTTGGAAAGCAACAATATCTCAGTGACAGACTGGCAACATGCACTCTAGTACTGTTTCAGCATTGGAGCCCCTGGTGGCGCAGTGGGTTAAACCCCAGTGCTAACAGGATTGAAGACCAACAGGTTGCAGATTCGAATCCGGGGAGAGTGCGGATGAGCTCCCTCTATCAGCTCCAGCTCCTCATGCGGGGACACGAGAGAAGCCTCCCACAAGGATAGTAAAACATCAAAATATCTGGGCGTCCCCTGGGCAACGTCCTTACAGACGGCCAATTCTCTCACACCAGAAGCGACTTGCAGTTTTTCAAGTTGCTCCTGGCATGACCAAAACCAAAGCATTCAGTCTAATAGGGGGTACCAAAGGGCCAATAAGGAGACTGAGAAGCATTTTAGGAGGTTAAGCATAGCACGTAGGTCAACATTCATTCCAGACAAGTTGTTAATGTCTTTGCCTGGTTGATATGACCTGGGCGTTTCTAACCATTTATTCCCTTACTTGAGTTTGTTTGGTATGCTTGCATTGCTGAAGATATGATTGATGCTTATATGCTTATATGTCTGGGAAGCAGCAGTGGGAGAAGTGAAGAGTTTGTGGGTTTCCAGATGTTGTTGGATTGTAATCCCCATTACCTTTCATCACTGGCTATGCTGGCGAGGGAGTTGCAGTGTATCAACATCTGGAGGCCCACATGTTCCGCAGCCTGTTCCAATTCTTGGCAAGTGAATAGCAGAGGATAATAAATTACCCTACAGTATAAATATGACATGAAACTCTGCTATCAAGCTTAAGGTGGTATGTGTTTTGAAGACTGGTTGGAGAAGACCTTTCTTCTTAGCATCCATGGATCCCAAAAAGTAATATGACAGTGGTGCTAGTCTGTAACTGCCTTTTTCTGTGTCAGGAGCGACTTGAGAAACTGCAAGTTGCTTCTGGTGTGAAAGAATTGACTGTCTGCAAGGAAGTTGCTCAGGGGACACCTGGATGTTTGATGTTTTACCATCCTTGTGGGAGGCTTCTCTAATGTCCCTGCATGGGGAGCTGGAGCTGACAGAGGGAGCTTATCTGTGCTCTCCCTGGATTCGAACCGCTGACCTGTCAATGAGTGGTTCTGCTGGCACAAGGGTTTAACCCATTGCACCATCGGGGGAAATAATTACCATAATTCCCAGCTATTAGCCATGCTGGCTAGAGCTGCTGGGATCTGCAGCTCAGAAATGTGTGGAAGACTTCACTATCCCCAACTTTTTTGCTTTTCTATTTCATCTCATCATGATAAATCAACGTATGCTATTTAGATCAGATATTTTTGTATGTGCTTCTTCACATTTTTGTTTTGCACATCATTCAATGGTCCATTTGAGGGTGGAGGTATATTTTTAACTTTTTGAGTGGCTGAGGGTCTCCTACCACTTGCAGGGTATCATTTTTATGTTTTGTGGTCTGAGGTCAGTTGCATCTTACATCTTAGAGACAGATCCAATAAGTAAGCTGATTATCCCTGTTGTTCTGTCTACTGATGATGCAAAGTGGTCATGGTGCTCTGTTTATTGACTAACTGTGTGATATAATGCAAGTTATTTAGAAGTATTTCTTAGTCCCTAGAAAATATATTTTGACTTAGTAGGAATTTCTTGGGGAAGCTTCTTCATTCTTCAACAGGTGGTAGGAATTCAGTCTGTCCTTTTGTTTATATTCTACTTTTCCCCCAAGAGTGGAACTCAAGACAACTTGAGTCCCCTAGATTTGAAACTATTGTTTATAAGAGGTTATACTGTACTCTGATCGGGTCATGCTGGCTAAACATGACTCTCTACATGAAAGTAGTGATATATCCATGGTTGGATGGATGAATGTTTGCTGCTTCTGAAAAAGAGACAAAAAATGAAAAATGATTAGATTTAGCTTTGTCAGTTCCATTCTGTAGCTTTTGGAAACTAGACTGATGGAAATGTGGCTTTTGATGTGCTTCTTTTTTTAAAAAAATTAAGGATTACACAGTGGAGAGTCCTAGCCCAGACACTGTAGGCCCTTGGCACTAGATTTAAAGCCTGCCACCCACTCTTTCAAGCAGTACCCTAGTGCCAACCTGTGGGGGCTCATGGTTACACAACACTTTGCTGATCAAGCTGACAAGTATAATTTTAAAAGCACACAATCTGCCCTTAATTCCTCCTGTCTCTTTGCCAAAGGCTCCCAGTTGCACAGAGGTATATGTTCAATTTGATTTATTACAGCTCTGCTCTTCTTTCCCTGGATGATACTTGGGCTTGACTGCATAAAGGGTAATTCATATGAAAATCTGAATTTTGGAGAGGTAGAAATAAATGAAGGAACCATTCTTATTATTATTATTACCATCCCACTTGAGACTCAATGCAGCTCAATCCATTTGGGGCTGGGGGTACAAATAATAGATGTGCTGTATGCTCATCTACTCCAAAGTAAACATCTAAACTCCCAACACACCCTGTCTTATATATCTCGCTGTATAGATAACAATAGGAAAAAGATGGAATCTACTGCTTTAGAATGTATGAAGCAGAAACCACTGAGGCATATACTTTATTGTGTCTCCAGAGCATTTGTATGTTGTGTTTGGCATTTTCTGTGGATTTTAAAATGATGAATAGGGCCCTTCCAATTCAGTCTGGAATAATACGCTACTAGGGTTGGGTTTCCAACCACTTTAGGTCTTGGCCTTAAGCACTGCTAGAACATACTGCCTTGGGTTTTAATCCTG